ACATGCAGGAGGTGGCTCAATATGGGGGAGTGTGAATGCGAGTGTGTGTGCAAGCCTGGGGTGCTCCAGAAGGGAGGGCCCCAGGAGATAACATTCAGGTTCTCACTTACAAAGGACACGTGTGCCAAACCAAATTCTCCACAATGCAGCCCTTCATCTGACAGCTCTGCACAGAAGAGCCGAGAATTATGGAGACTTTAGCATAAGCTCCAGGTAAAATGGCTTTCTACTTGCTGCACAGGAGGCTAAAGAAAAGCAAAATACAGCACGAAATAAAACAGGCAGGAGCCCACATGGCAAAGATGGGGAATGCTTCCAAGATTTTTTTTTCAAGCTAGCTGATAACTTTCAAAATATATATAGTAACATATATTATGCTCATGAGATTTTTTTCAAGTCAGTTGATAACTTTATATATATAAATGTGTCTGTGTATGTATATATATAGCTGAAATTTAAAAAGTAAAACCACAGAAATAATGCTGAAGTTGTTATTAACTCATGGTCATTTATAACCAAAATTGCTCACCTTTTTTTCTGGATACCTCCAAAATGGCTGGGAAGAAATCATTTGTTAATTGATAGTACACCTATTAGCATATCTGATCCTGTTAATATAAAAGATGGCAAGGAACAGTGCATTTCTTGAAAACGTTGTTCCTTCACCGTGTTACCCACACTCATAGAATCTTTTATATCCATTGTTTGAGGAATCATCCGGCAGTGTTTTGCTCTAGCTTAGCCAATCTTCAGCTAAGGATCGCAGAGCCTGTGCTAAGTTAACTTACTCAGAGGGATCAGCTCTCCAATAGATGAAACGACAATTCAGCAAATTCAATTTCTTTCACAGTGGCCTCAGGATTCAGCCAATAATCTTGGCAATAATTCTTGGGCACTTTCAGGAGCCAAAAGGAGATAACTAAGAAGCCTCAAGGACATAAACATCTACTGGATTTCACTAAGCCACTGCCCTTGCAGACACCCAACATCACGTATTAGAAAGAGAAAGTGAGCAACTTGCCCCCTCGTGGGAGCCAGTTGGAGGGCTGCACTGTTCCATGACAACTACAACTTTCACCTTTCACAAAATAACTGCAAACCCTAGCCTTCTAGGTTCATGGCATTAAAAAATGCCATGGTTTTAAATTAAAAAAAAGAAAAAAACTACACACAGCGGGAGCAATATACTCCTGCTATATAAATATATACATTTTATATATATATATACACACACACACAGACACATGAAGACAATAAACAGACAAATAAAGCTTACACATGTAAGCTTACACAAATTACACATGTAATTCTGGGGTAACAAACAGAAGACCCACAAGTTGGGGATTGGAACATAGTCATTGAGTGTGTTTTTGTACTCAATAAATGTTTACCAACTCCTGCATAAAGTTAAATGCTGTTTTAAAGAAATTCTTACCTCTAGAGATGTAATACTAATTACAAGTTTGTCAGTAGCACACTGGGGTAGGAAGTGGGACACCCCACGTGCTACATAAAACTTAAGGAACATCCTTCAACCTGTCTCATCTGCTTCACTCTCTCTCCCCCTCTCTTCCCCCTTCCCTCCCTCCCTTCACTGCCTTGTCTCTCTCTCTATATATAGTTTAATTCTACTGGTATTTCTGTTTTTCTCTTGGTCATGTTCCAGTTCAGAAGTTCACAATCCCAACTCAAGGGCTTTGGTGGAAGTCCTGTGAGTGATGATGATGGACGAGGCTCCTGCCCTGCCAGGATGAGCTGGGTTGGTTTGGGAGGGCCCATCTTCCCAGACGGGCAAAGCCTCCTGCCCTCAGCTGAGCCCGGGGCACCACACACCACTGGCTTCCACACACCCTCCCTTGGAGCACTGGTTCAAGACTCTGAAATGACTCCAAGGTCCATCAGCTCCAGGAGCGAAGAAGGGAATCTGGTCACATCCTCCTTGACCCTGAACCTTCTGTCATGCTCCTCTGCTGCTTGTATTTGTAACTTTCCCTATCACCACTCTGAAATGCCCTGCAAGAACTTCTTGGTCATTGTGAACTCCATCTAGCCTGAAATCCTTCAAGGCTTCACCATGCTGGGGTGTAAAATCAAACTCTGATGCCCCTTTCCATGAAGTGCAGTGTGGGATACAGCAGGGAAAGCCAAGTTCACCCCTGGTTCCCAGCGAAATGCCCAGGACTGATGCTGATCCATCACGGGCCTGTCCCTGTGTCTCTCCCCGTGAACACCACTGGCTGCAGCTTTCTGTGCCAGCCAAGAATGGTGCTGCCTCTGACATGTTCCCATTTACCCATAAACTCTAAATCCCGTCTGAGGATTAAACCATAAACTCTAATCACAACTGTCCATTTTCCAAGAAAACACAGCAACTATTCCCACAGCATCCCTTCACAGGCAGGTGGCAAATCTGTGGACTCTGAGATGGGACAGACCTGGACTGAATCCCAGCTCAACTCAGCTTCATTCTGGGGCAGTTTCCTTACCACCCATTTCCCTTATCTGTAAATAGGAATAATAATTCCTACTTCATAAGATGTTTCTGAACCTGGCACCCCCACCACCATCTCCATATCAGACCTCCAGCTGAATCCACCAGGTCTGCCCTGACCTGATATTATCTTCTGTTAATTAGATACAGCTTAAAATCCCAAAGTGCGAGAATCGTATTTCTGATAGATATACCCCTTCCTTCTTATGAAAAGTAAAGTTCTGAAACTACTATAAATGTATTTTATGCACGACCAAGCTAAAACAAGAAAATAATACCATTCCCTTTGTTAGCTAGAGATTCTGTAGCCCCTGGCACACACCCAGGGACAGGTACGCAGACACACCTATCTGCAGCAGGTAATGTAACTGTCTCTCACCTGTCTTCTTTGGTGCCCTCTAATCTTCTTCCTTATAATAATCAAGACTCTGAGGATCTTAAAAAGCCTCAAAGAGCTCATCCCTCATTTTGGGGAAGAGGAAACAAGACCACCAGAGAGCTTAAGTGACTTGTCCAAAGCTGCACAGCTAGTTAATGACAACTAGGCAGCTGACAACTTTAGCCCAGTGATTAAGCACAGCAAACTAACTCATGAAAAGTTTACTTAAAACTTACTCCAAGGTTACATTTCATGGAGCCTTAGAAGGCTCAAGATTCTGTGAATCTCAGCGTGTATGTTTAGTATGAAATATATGTCTTTATATTTGCCAATGGGATGTCACAGAGCCTAGTTTGGGGAGTTTCTTAAGAGCCCCTGTATTCGAGACCAATGCCATTAAATGGAACTTAGTGAGAAATGGAAGCGCACACTATCCATATGGCCGGCTTTAGCTACATATGTGCCTGTTGAACATCTGAAATATGACTAGCGCAACTGAGGAACTGTTTAAAATTTTTAATTTTATTTTCACTGTTGTAAAATACATGCAACATAAAAACAAACATCTCAACCACCTTTAAGAGCACAGTTCAGTGATACTAACTACATTCATGATGTATTGCGACCATCACTATCATCCATCTCCACAGCTCTTCCCATCTCCTAAAACTGAAACCCTATACTCATTAAACAATAACCTTTTATTCCCCTTTCCCCCCAGCCTATGACAACCACCAATCCACCTTCTGTCTCTATTATTTTGACTACTTCAAGTATATAAATGGAATCATACAGTATTTGTCTTTTTGTGACTGGTTTATTTCACCTAGCATAACATCCTCAAGGTTCATTCGTGCTGTAGCACGTGTCAAAATTTCCTTCCTTTTCAGGCTAAATAGTTGTGTTTTTTTTTTTAACCACATTTTGCTCTTCCATTCATCTGTGAGTGGACACCTGAGATGCTTCCACATCTTAGCTTTTATGCATAAGGCTGCTATAAACATGGATGTAGAAATACCTCTTTAAGATGCTGTTTTCAATTCTTTTCAGTATGCATTCAGAAGTGGACTTGCTGGATCATGTGATAATTCTATTTTTAACTTCTGAGAAACCACCATACTGTTTTCCATAGCAGCTGTACCGTTTTACAGTCCTACCAACTGTGCACAGAAGTTCCAATTTTTCCACATCTTCACCAATATTGTTATTTTCTGGTTTTTTGATGGTAAGCATCCTAACTGGTGTGAGGTGGTATCTCACTATAGTTTCAATTTGCATTTCCCTAATGACTAATTCTATCAAGCAACTTTCCTTGAGCTTTCTACCACTTGTATATCTTCTCTGGATAAAAGTTTTAATTTTACTTCACTGTAATTAAATTTAAGTAGCCCAATGAGGCTAGGGGCTTCCATGTTGGACAGTGCAGCTCTAGAGCACCATGATTCTCGAGGTCATTTACACATCCAGTGCAGTAAGCACTGTGAGATTTGGAGGTAGATGGATCAGTTCAGATACTTTCTAGTTTGACAGATGTAGCCAGTCACTAAAACTTTTTATACCTCAATTTTCCAAAGTATAAAATAGAATTAACACCTCCTTCTTCTAAGAATGAAATGAATTAGCATACATTTATAGCCCCTGATATAATCTTAGCGCATGACAGAGAATTTAAGCCAATGAGACATGCCTTGCCTCAATTCCAATGTCCACTGAAACTCAGAACCTAGAATCTGGTTTTTTTAGATATGCTCCCCAAGTGGATTGCAATCCTTCCCAGAGAAAGGACTTTCAGCTTTAGGAAACAAGGATCTTTGGCTCCTACCAGGAGGATCCCGTGAATGGAAGGGCTGACTGAGATGAATTCTGGACTAACTTCTCTGGCATTCTGTGATTTTTGACTCTGTCCAGATTTAGCCTTGGCAAAAAAAACAACAGGAAAGTGAAGCTGTCTAACTTCTGGTTCTAGAATTCGGGCCCACCTTCTTTGTGAGGCAGCCAAAACAGACCTTCAGAGGGAGGATCTTTTCAGAAACTCTCTAAGCTCTGCATGTGCTTTGGGGCTCAGAACCATCCCAAGTCTCTGTCTTTGTGGCCACACCCTTCTTCCCTCCAGCTGGCCCACAGGCTTACCTGAAGCTGCCGTGGTCGGGGTGCTGGCCGGTGGCGGCTGCGAGGAGCTGCTGCTCTCAGGCATCAGGCACGGGTTGCTGCCGCTGTTCTCTCTCTTGACGATCAGCTCAGCTGAGCTGGGCAGCGGGATGGGGTGACTGATCCCCAATTCCTCTTCCTGGGCCTGTTGCCGTCTCAGGGCCACCTGGAAGCATAGGGCAATGGGTCACCCTCCAGCACCCCAGAATCACTCCTACAGCTTCGCCAAAACCACTAAAGCCCCACTCATCCCAAACAGCTCCATCCATTACCTCCAGGGAGAAGGTCTGAGAATCCCTCATTTCTTTTTTTTTTCCCCCTCATTTCTTTTCATAGCCACCCAGGTAACTCTGATGTGCAGCCAAAGCTGAAAAATGGTTGAGAATCAGAGGTCCTTTGGAGCTTTGAGTGAGTGCTCAAAAACTTTTCAATAAACAAATGTGTATGCAGACTAGGAGGAAAGATTGGAAGAGAAAGAGCTGCAGAGTCAGCAGAGGAATTCGACGTGAAGAGCAGAAGTCAGCACTGACAGATTAGGAAGGAAGGAGAATGGGATCACTTCCACAAATACGTAAAAGGCTGCTGTATTAGGAACCACGACCAGACCAGTGAGATACAGTAAGATTAGATTAGATTAGATCCCAAGGTACTCACTGTTTAAAAGGAGAGACAGGAAGCAAGCACGCAACTACAACTCAAGACAAACCGTGAACCACCACAGGACAGGCACAAAAGGGCTTTAAGTGCAAGGATGGGTGGAGGTGGTACTGGAACAGGGCGGTGAAGAGCAGCATGAGTGAAGCCTGACAGGCAAGGATGAAGAGGCAGAACTCCCCGAAACTTGGGAGCAGGGAAGACTATGAAGGCAGGGTCTGCTCAGGAAACCCACAGAGCCCTGTTTTGTGGGGTGGAGGGATCGTGGAGGGAAGGAACAGGGGCAAGGGGGCTGCAAATATGGTGTTGAAGTCCCTGGAAAAAAAGGTGGCGCTGGAGATGGAGAGAAAAGGAGAAAGCAGGTGTGATATTCCCCAGTGGGGGCTGGAAAGGACCCAGCATACCTAAGACACTCCTCATGGTCCCTCTTCTTTTAAATAACAGGGAAAGAAAAATAAAAATAAATAAATAAAAAACAGGGAAAGGTTGAAAAGCTGTGTCCAAAAAAAAAAAATTGTATTTTTGTTTACAAGTAACAAAAAAAAGGTGGACATTCTGTTGAAACTGACCACTGGTGATAACGGAACAAGAAAGGGAAGCACCTGTACCTCAGAGGCTGAAATACAAGCCAAAAAGTTGACATCAAAATGGTGAACCAGAAGCATAACTACAATTTACAGGCTGTTTTAGGAAAACTGTAGTCTAAATTTAGAAAGATGATTAACTTGGAAGTAATTTTACTCCTAACAAGAGGAGTCTTCAACACTTTAAAAAAAAATCTTTGAATAATCAATTAAGATTAAATAATTAAGTTTAATTCTTGAATTTTCTATTATTAACCAACAGAATATTAGAAACAGAAATATTAGAATATCAGAAACAGAATATTTAGAAACAGAATATTAAGGATTTGACCACAAATGTTTAAAAGATACCCATGAACTTGTGAAGTATGTCAATGCAACAAAAAAGTGCACTTTAGGGCCTGGTTTACACAAATCTCACATATGCACACAACATACAGACTATTATATAGTCCATAAACTAAAAACACTTTTACAAAGACCTCTCCAGGGCTCTTAGGAAATGCTATTTAAATAGGGAAGGTGAGGCAATTGATTTAAAATGCAATTATTTTAGGGTCTTATTTAACATCAATTTCAAGCTATTTTAGAATGACTAAAAATGGCTGTTACATGGTTGTTTAAAGGATTTCACTCAGCACAGCACAAACCTTCTGGTGTGGAAAATATTGACGTTTTATACTATTAAAATAATTTTGAGTTCCTTTTGTTTTTAACATAGTGAACAGCCTCCTTACAAATTAGCACTCCTACTAATACAGCTTATTCAAACTTAATGACCCTACTTGGATGCATATTTTTCTTACATTTTGAGAAAAATCCCCCTCCCAAGCATACTCTCCACACTAAATATTAAAGCCAGCAGCTAAATATTCAGAAAAAAAATTTCTACCTACAAAAACAATTAAATGTCATAGGTTTTTTTTTCCAGTAAGTTCACTGTGATGCATTTAAATGCTATATTCAGAGTATTCTTTTCATCCACTATAGATAAAGCTAAAAACCAATAAAGAAACCAAGTAAAAACAACCTGTATTTCCATGACTACCCTCACAGTCTGTGAAGACCGAATCTAACTATTTTTAAACTTTTTTTTTAATGGGTGTATATAAAAAGTATAATCTCTAAGAATGTGAAGTCCTGTTCAAGGCTCCTACTGATATCATTTTCAGTGGAGGATATTTACCCGTTCCTAACCAAAAGGAGCACGTCATTAGTAAACATTTCTTTGTAATATTTCATTGTAAATAACCTGTTTTAAAAGGATGGAACAACTTTTAACTGGAAAGAATTTGTATTATTCTCTTCTAAAAATTCTTTTAGGATACCAACGACTTTATTTCTGTTACGGTACAAAAGTACTGCCCTGCTTGGGACGCTTTAAAAAAACCCAACACACCAGGAACAGCAGACAAAACCTCAAATGCTTGCATTTTCTCCTCTCCGTGGATGTTTAAAATTCTTAAGTGTGTTTTAAAACATACTCAAAGTAACCTGTACTTGAATATCTTCGGGCGAGACAGCAAACTTGAAAGCGCAAATGAAATTTCCCTAGTGCTCAAAATGGCTGAGCCAGGATGCGCCGCGGCGAATACGAAAAAGAGCGCCAAGAGCATAGCCAGGACCACGCCGCGCCGGCGTCCGTTAGAGAGACTTTTCCAGAAAAGCAGTCTCCCGCCGCGACGCTTTATCCGCAGAAGCTGCGGCCGGCCGGGTCTCTGCTTCCCCCGAACCCAGCACCCTGAGAAGGCACCGTCCAACACCCCCCCCGCCCCAATTATAAGGGCACCTCCCTGCTCGGGGAGGAGTCGGGGATCCGAGGGGGAAAGCCCCCCAACTCTGTTCAGAGTGAGGTCGGATGCCCCCGGCTCCCCGAAGGGGCGAACACCACAACTCGCTGCCGGAGGCGGAGTCAGAAATCCCGGGGACCCTTTCCCCAGCAGCGCGAACCCCGCAACTCCCTGCTGGAGTATGAGTTTAGGGACCCCGGGGACTCCCAAGCAGAGCGAACCCTGCAACTCTCAGCTAACTCTGAAAGAGGAAGTCAGACAGCCAGAGGATCCCCGAAGGGGCGAACCCCACCATTCCCGCTGGGTCAAGGATCCGGAGCTACGGGAGCCCAGTGAACCCCGCACCTCCCTGGCTCCGCCTGCGGCATCGGAAACGAGTCCAGGCCCTCGGAGCGCGGCGTCCGCGGGTGACTAGGACCCCCGGCCCCGAGCGCGCAGTGGCTGGCGGCAAGAACAGCCACTTCCTTCCGAATCCGCGCCCCACGTGGCGCCCCCGGGACCCGAGGGGCTTTACTCGAAAAATTCGGGGCTGAAGCCCGGTTCCAGACGCCCGCACTCACCTGCGCGGCCATCACGCGTTGTCTCTCTGCGATCAGGTTGCATTTCTTACACTGGCAGTCCCGCCACATGCAGAAACGCTTGTGGCCCTTGAGCGGCGACGCGTAGCCGTGGTTGCGGCACCGCGCGCACTTGGGCAGCCGTGGAGACTTCTTGCCCGAGACGGCGCCCACGCCCGACCCTCCGGAGCCGCCACCGTCGCCGCCGCCGCCGCCGCCAGCGGTCCCGGGCGGCGCCCCGGCCGCTTTGCCGAAGCCCCCGGGCTTGCCCTGCGGTGGTGCCCCCGGGGTGTGTGGGGCCTCCGACGGTGCGGCATCATCGTTGGGCATGGTGCCCCAAGGAGTAGCGCAGACTCTCTGGTAGCTGCAAGCGGGGCACCCGGCCGACGGCGAGGCTGGCGAGGAGGCGGCGTAGGACGCGTACGTTCTGCAGCGGGAGGTGCAGCTGGACTGGCGAGGTCTGGACTCGCAACGCCCAGAGAGGTGGGGGGGTTGTGCCCTCTTTTTACGCGCTCGCGCGCGCGCGGCACAGAACTTTTGGATACTTTTCAGAACGTTCCCGGGACTGCCTGGGCGGGAGAGAGCGCTAGGGAGCGCCGTCACGCCCACCCAGCCCCCAATTCTCGCCACTGTGTTCCCTCTGCGTGCAAGCTTGCAGAGGCTGCAAACACCGAGGGCACTGCTGGAGGGCTGCTGTGAGCGCACACGTGGAGCAGAGGCGCTCCCCGGGGCGCCCAGGCCAGCTGCCAGAACACGCTGCACGAGGGAGCTGGGCTCCAGCTCAGCAAGGTAGCTGTGCAGGCTGATGGGAGGAGGTGCAGACCCTGCTCTGGAATCCTCCCGCTCCCTTCCCCCCAGTGACGCCCTTCTGCAAGTTCCATAGGACCGACTTTGGCAGAGGCCAGCTCAGAAAGCAGTTTCTTCCTCATTTAAGATAAGTCTGAGGCTGAAGGCCTGAACAAAGAGAAGCCTCTGCCCTTATATCAGCAAATAAGACCCACGGTGGGAGAGTGGGTCCATGCGCACCCCAGATTGGACCTGTTCTCCAGTTGCATCTTCCTGCACCCATGTTTACTTGCTCAAGAGATTTCCACCTGATGGCTGCATATGACTTTCAAATCTAGAGTTCTAGTCCTTGCTTTTCTCTTCAGTGGCTTACAGCTTCTTGCCTTTGAAGCAGCTTCACTTAGGATCTGCAAGCACTGGAAATTTGGTCTTTTAATAACCTCTGTTGGAGTTGCGAGGGACAGAGATGAACACATTTATCAAAATTCATTCCACACTTAAGATCTGTGCATTTCAATTATACCTCCAAAAAACCCAAATCCTCTTACAGCCTTCCCCTCACTGCCACTCCCCACCATTCTTGTCTTCTCTCTGCACTTGCATAGCAAATCCAACCCATTCTTCCTGCACACCCAAGTGTCCCTCTCAAGCCAGCCCTCCTCATGTCTGAATCTCTGCAGTAGCATCTAGCTGGTCTCACTGTTTCTTAGTCTTCCAGTATATTCCATATCCCATGCACACAGCAGTTGGCTCCTGAAATGGTTTTGTGTTTTCCACATGAAAAAAAGAAGCTAAGGACCCGAGGCTGCATCATACAGGACTTCGAAAGATGTCCCTCTGCATTTTTCAGCCTCATATGTTGAGTAGCTTACCTGTCAGCTTAGAGGAGCTTTTCGTTGATTTCTACGCACCCTTTTTGTTCAACGCCATGTCTCTAACCTTGGGATGGCCATTGTCCAGTCAGGGGTTGGGGTGGGGGTTGGGGGCTGCCCTTCTGTCTCTCCCCGCTTGCCTTGCTTTTCCCCAGTGTTAGTACTCTAGTTCCAAATTCTCGGCCCTAACAGTAGGAGTTAGATCCCCAAAGGATCCTGCCATCCCACTTGACTTCTCATCAAAATGTTTTGTCTATTGCCCCTCTCTTTTAGCAGATTAGGCTTCCCTGATAGCTCAGTTGGTAAGGAATCTGCCTATAATGCAGGAGACCCCTGTTAGATTCCTGGGTCGGGAAGATCCCCTGGAGAAGGGCTAGGTTACCCACTCCAGTATTCTTGGGCTTCCCTTGTGGCTCAGCTGCAAGAATCTGCCTGCAATGTGGGAGACCTGGGTTTGATCCCTGGGTTGGGAAGGTCCTCTGGAGAAGGGAAAGGCTACCCACTCCAGTATTCTGTCCTGGAGAATTCCATGGACTATATAGTCCATGGGGTCGCAAGGCGTTGGACTCGACTAAGCAACTTTCACTTTTTAGCAGATTAGCATTTTCAGCCCTGAGCTCTGAAATCTAGCCTGCCTTTCCCATTCTTATTCTGAGGCCCCTCTCACAGGCTCTTTCCTTCAGCCTGGATTTTCTCCATTCGTTTCCTCACTCTGAAAATTATTTCCTAAAGAAGCATCTAGCTTTACACGATACCTCATATCCTACCCATCAAGCCAGCAAAACTTTACTTAGGACAGGGGCCAGGATGCAACCATTCGTCTCAATCTGGAGCTTGTTAAATGATAACCACTATTTTGTTCAGGAATATCCATCAGACTTTCATTAAAACACACATACCAATTACTGTTATCTACTATTTACTTTTCTTTTTCCATATTTCCATTTTAATACATTACCCAAAGCTGCATCACTCTCAAGGCCAAGTCCAGTTCCAGAGGATGAAGTCAATGCCAGAAGCAGCAGCTGTCAAATCCCAAATTACAGGCGAACACATGTTTCTTTTTTTTTTTTTTTCACATGTTTCTTACGAGCATCCCCTCACTAGAGTCTGTGGTGGAGGGACTTAAGCCTCCTACAGGAAATTTGGGGCTAGGAAACTGTGTGACCAAGATATTAAACATAAAATGTTGTGATGAAGTTAATAACCTAATAAAGTTTCTATTCACAAACCACAGAGAAGGTCCCAGACACAAGACAATACAAAAGGAAAATGGGAAGACCTCAAGGATGAACAGAGTTGTCCTGAATATTTTGAATAGTTCGACCCTGTTGTCTCCTTTCTTCCCTCTCTTCTTTCCAAAACAAAACTCTGAAGTATAATGGTGCAGATCTGTACCGATCTACAGATTTACTGAGGTGCAGATTTACTGAGGTAGAAAGACATCCAGGGCATACTGATAAGTGGGAGGAAGAAGGGAGTTCAATTCTAAAACATGGCAGGGTTAGGCAAAGACTTCTTAGATATGATGCCAAAAGCACAAGCAATGAAAGAAAAAAATTGATAAATTGTCTTCATCAAAATTCAAAACCTTTGTGCTTCTAAAGATATCATTAAGAAAGTGAAAATATAGGACATATCTGATGAATGACTTGTACCTAGAATACATAAAGAACTTTTGTGATATAATAATAAAAAGATAAACCAACTGAAGAATGGGAAAATTTTTGAATGGATATTTCACCAAAGAAAATATTTGAATGACCAATAAGCACATGGAAAGATGTATGATATCATTAGTCATTAGGAAAATGCAAATCAAAACAATGAGATATCACGTCATACCCACTAGGATGGCTATAATCAAAAACATAGACAGTAGCAAATATTGGCTAAAATGTGGAGAAACTAGAATTCTCATGTATGGCTAGTAGGAATGCAAAATGGCACAATAATTTTGGAAAATTTTACCAAAAGACCCAACAGTTTCATTCCTAAATATCTTACCACAGAGAAATGAAAACATGTCCATACAAAGACTTGTATGTGAATATCATAGCAGCATTATTCATTTGAAACAATCCAAATGTCCACTAACAGGTGACTGAATAAAAAACTGGTATATTCACACAATGGAATATCATTCAGTCATCAAAAAGGATGGTGTGTACTGACACATGCTACAGTAAGGATGAACCTTGAGAACACTATGATAAATAAAAGAACCCAAATTCTTTTGTATGTCCCCAATTATACAAACTGTCCAGAATAGGCAAATCAATACAGAAAGAGCAGCAGTTCCAAAGCTGGAGTGGGAATGAAGAGTAAGTACCAATGTGCATAAGGAATCTTTGGGGGGGTGATACAATGGTCTAAAATTGGATCACGATAATGGTTGCAAAACCCTGTAAATTTACTAAAATAGTTGTATGGTTAAAACAAGAGAATTTTATGGTTTATATATTATACTTCAATGAAGCTATTTAAAATTTTAACTAAAAAAAAAACTCAGGATGTACAATATGGTTCCATTTCTGCAATAGGACCCAATGTGTATTAATATCTGCTTTAGTAGTTTATTTAATTCTCCATGAGTTATAGGACTATGGGTGATAGTCTCCTTACACTTTGTGTGTTTCTTTGAGAGCAGACCCATGTTCTGGTGTCCTCCCTCCTGTCTCTTCCCTTGTAGCCAGGTGATAAGAAATGACATCTGAGCTTGGGCCTTGCAGACTCTGTCAGCCCTGTGGTCAACCCCAGATCACCAGCATTCTTAGCATTAGACTTTGGAACCCAAGCTGGTCTCACAATGAATTATTATATGTTTTGCTTTCCAGTTATCACAGTTCTGTAATACATCTACTTTGTTTATTATCTGATTTTTTAAAAACAGGCATTACTGTCACCATCAGAAACAATACATTATTTTCTTGGTGAGGCAGTATAGCATCATATTAAATGTTTGGCTTTGAATACCAACTATGTGATACTAGGCAAGTTTCTTAACCACTCTGTGACTCAGTCAGCTCATCTGTAAAAGGAGATTAATACTAAGAACTACCTCAAAGGATTTTTAGGCTTAACTAAGTTAAAACTCACAATGTGCTTAGAAAAGCATGTAGCACACAGTAATATGTATGCCATTACTATTATCATTCACATATTTGAAATTTTAAAAGAGTAGTGAAAAAGCACATGGATATAACCTTCACTTACTAGAATAACTTAGGAGGAAGGGAAGCTGTATTAGAAAACACCAATGATAAATTTCATCTAGTTGCACTGTGTCCACACAAAGTTTTTGCCCCAGTTCTTGGTACAACAGCTCACAGGGAAAATTCTCTGTGATGCTTCTAACTATATATACAAAGAAAGACAAAATATTCAGCTAAAGGGTCTGAAATGTGTGGAGCCCGGCCTTGCGAGTCAGCTGACCTTAACAAATGATCTGGTACCTGGGGCTGGTCTGAGCAGGAGGCATCAAGGGGGAAGTGAGATTCCTGGGGCTTGGGGCATTTCATGAAAGGAGAACCCTGTGTGAGAGGGAAGGCTGAACAGGACTTGAGTAGGCACAAAGGTAAAAAAAAAAAAAAGATATTCTAGGTCGTGGGAACCAGGGCTAGATGGCGGGGCTCTGGGAGTAAGTTGTGGGCTGGGGGAGAGGGCACAGAC